TATATATATATATATATATATATATATATATATATATATATATATATATATATATATATATATATATATATATATATATATAAGTATATATATAAGTATATATATAAGTATGCATCATAGGGCATTGAGTTCACCAGTGACCACCCAAGATGCGAGCATCAGAGGGGTCTGGGGCATACCCCCCAGAAAATTTTGGATTTCTTGAAGCTCAGATAAGCTATTTCCCATATTTTGCGGAGTATTCCAACAAGAAATTAACCTTATAAACAGTGACACAATTACTGCAATTTCACAGTCCCCTAAATGTAATCCAGTCCCCCAAATGTAATCCAGTCCCAAAAGGCAACATGGTGTGATGATGCGGTAATTAAAATGTGTTTGGTATAGTATTATCATTCACCATACTTCAAATTCTACAGTACTGTATTACATGTATTGGGGTACTTGAAATCGACGCATTCGTCTTCTCAGTGTCACTGAAGAGTAAGATAGGGTGGTCTCTTTGGAGTGTCTTTGCTTGAAAAACTAAACTAGAATTTTGTCGTAAAATGCCATTCCATGCCTTGTTACACAAGCAAATTATTTCAGTGGTGATTTAGGTTTCTGATGATGTTTAAATTTCAGTCCCCAAATTCTAGCCTACCGAGTCGACTGACTCGGTGGACTCGTACCTAGTTACAGGCCTGCAGAAGATGGTCAAATTCTGAAATGTTAACAACTTAAAATCGTTTTCTCACTTTGATACATAATTGCTGGTTGACCACCTACTGCAGGTAGTTCTTAGAGACCTCAATGGGGGAGGGGGGGATTTGCCGACTGGATGGACCAGTAATAGGGCTGGGGAGGGGGGACATGTCCTCCCCAGTCTATATGTTAAAAGAGGCCTTTTACTTTATGACCAGTTCCTAAATAGCTACACCATAAATAAAAATTCTACCTATTTGTATTTATATTCAGATTTATTTATTGTGCTGTACTGTCAAAAGTTAATTGCCAACAATTTTACCAAGCCACTACCAATATGATCTTTCAAGTGCGGAGACGTAGTCACAATTTCCAAAGCAACTTCATTTCTTTCATTCTTGTTTAAATAGTATATCCCATGGGAGATTATATTTGTGCATATATCTCTAATAAATTCATTTCGTTGTGGTCCAGTAAAACATTCACTTTCCAGTGCTTGAGTAACACTTGGTGAAAACTAAAGAAAATATCAACATAGATTAATTAGTAAGATCAAAATCTTTGTCAGCCTCACTGCATTAATATTTTTCAATCAAACAACAAATTGGAGGGTGAAAAGGGAAAATACTAAAGTATATAATATATACAATAAAACTCCTAATCACTTTTTTAATCATTATTTTGTAGTTAAATAGTGATTAACGTTAATCACATAGTTAACTCGGTTGTATAAAAAAGTAGTTAGTGTTAATTGTAGTTAAAGTAAACGATGCTTAGGTATTGTTAACTTCTCAAAACGTAGTTAAAAATGGCGGCTTTAATACAGCTTATCAATTTTTATGGGAGAAATAATATTGAAAGGCAACGCTTACCAAGAGTTTTTCAATGCCATCTTCCCTGGGAAGGCTTCTCAGATGAAGAACTAGTAAAACGGTATCGGTTTTAGCTTTCTTCAAGTGATTGGGGAAACGCATAGCTATGTCAAAGCTACTGTGTCAAGAATAGTATTAGTACGAAGAGTTTCCCTTGCCCTTGCAAACAAACACGAAATGCGGGTGACATTTCCAACAACAATGGAGGAGAAAAATGCCATACGAGCGGAATGTAGCATCAACTGCATGCACATCTGGATACAGACGCCCAGTCAACACGAGCCAAATTATGTTAACAGGAAAAATGACCACAGCATTAATGTTCAAGCAATTTGTGATGATAAAGGTTAGAGCTAATATTACATATGTATTAATGCTTGTATTTCTTAACTATTTGATACCCACAGGGCCTATCAGAGAAATTCGGGGGCCCGGAGCAAATGTTTGTTTCGGGGCCCCTATTTTTCAAAAAAATTGTTGGCGGGTGCGGGTGGGGGAAGGTGAAATTTTTTTCTGGACAATAAAAAAAGATCAAAAAATATTTCCGGTCGAACATCAGTAAAATTAAGGTTCAAAAAAATTTTTTCCAAACAAATTCATGCTACAACATGGAGCTTCAGAAAATTTTTCCTAGTACCATTATTTATATAAAAAAAGGGTTTTTTTTATAACAATTTTTTTTTTATTTTTGTAAATTTGGGACTCCCCCTTACACTGGGGCCCCGGGGCAAACTATCCCCTTTGCCCCCCCCCCTCTGAATGGCCCTGGATACCTATGTTTAATTTTTAGTGCACATGGGTGTGGTCAAAGTTAAGTGGTGGACCAATGGAAGTAGGGGGAGGGAAAACTTTCCTTCCAATTTTCTTTTTTCTATATATTTTTGTAGTTGCATGTAATTTTTTTTCATTCTCTAATGGCTTGCATGGTCCAACCCTCCCTTCACGAATAAAATTGCCTGGTGTTAGACAGACCAATTAACATAATGAAGTCAGCACAAAACTAGGGCCAGTCAACAACAAAGCTTTGCTTTATTTATTATCGTTATGACCTGATAAACATATAATGTCTAATAATTAACCAAACTGGTACTTATTTACAAATATATATATTTCAATGTAATATTTAACAAATATAAAACATTTTCCATGTTGATATACAGTTATATCAACACAAGTGGAAATTGGTAAAACGAGAAATTGTGTGGAAATTCCCACGAGTGTTGATATAACCGTATATCAATATGGAAAAAATATTTTATATTTGTTTTATAATATGGCACAAAGAAACATAAAGAAAGAAATTTTCCGACGTTTCCGTGTTGACATTGAGTTATTTCAACACAGCTCTTAACAAATCGGCATTCAGAATTTACAAATGCTATGTTATAAATTTCAAAGTATTATAGTATAATGTTCTATGTAAATGCATAGGTTTTGTAATTACAGGAAAATTGGGAAATGTAGTAGAAAGTGGCCAGGATCCTGCCATGACTCCTTCATATTTCGCTCCTCAGCATTGGGAAGGAGTTTGGAAGACCAAGATCACAATACCGAGGATGGTATTTTGTTAGGGGACAGTGGATAGGCTCTGACGTCATACCTAATGACACCATATGCTCAACCAGTTCTGCCACATCAAAGGCGTTTTAACAGGGCCCACAAAAACATGGTGTTTGGTTGAACGTGTGTTCAGTATTTGGAAAAGATGATTTCACGCCTTACATTCGGAAATAAGGTAGGCATGACTCGAGGCATAATATGCTCAAAGTAAGACTCGGATCCTTTATCATATAACCTTCTTAACCCATTAGTGTAAGACTTTCCCTTTGGTAACTACAATTGTTTGGTCTTAGAGACAGTATAATAATAAAGTATGGAGAATTTTGGCATATTACAGATTTACATGTAGCTTAATGGTTAAGAAAACTTGATGTTTAAACAATGGTAATAGCCTGCACAGCAGGGAAATTGGATGCCAGCTTGTATCCACAAGCATGTTCATAATTTAAAATATTAAGTCAAAGTCAAAATACTTTATTTACTGAGAGTAAAAGCGCCATTACTGGTTATTCAGTAGTTTTCATGATGGCCCTCAAAGATCTTTCAAAGAAATAAATATTGATGTGTTACAGTATGTTAACTTTGTTTAGAATGAAACCAGACAGAGTATGCACAATTGTGATGGCATGTGCAGTTTTACACAACATTGCAGTAGAGAGACGTGAGCCTGAACCAGAAGCCGAGGAATATGAGTTGATTGAGATGGAAGATGGAGATGAATATATTGGTGGAGCGAAGAGGAGATTAGTGACGAGCCAACGATCTTGTTTGACGTTCACATACCTTGTAATTTGAGGGAAGGGGAAAATGGTCTTTCTTCCAGGGAAATGCAGCAGTGTAAGCACCGTCCTTATCACATGTTATAGATGTACTTTGATACTCTTGTGCTTGGTTTGCATGCTCATCGTTGAGGGTAGGGGGTGCAATTCCTGGTGACTTGACTGTCCAGAACCGTTGAAGGTCAAACTCTTCTTCATTGTGGCTAATCATCACATTCAGGATTCGAGTTGAGGGCATGAATGGTGTGTTTCAATTAATTGGACCCGAGAGTAGATATCCCAACTTCGATTTTACTGCTACTGGTCCATCACCTCCCATAGTCTCATCTTGCACGACTGCCAATAATAGTTGACACCAATGAGAAGGGAAATCTCAAACCTGTCATCAGAAGAGACTGGGTGGGCTAGTTTAAGACCTTTGAGGTATTTCAAATTGGGCACAATAGATGGTAAATGGTTTTGAATTGGTGTGGCTATGTCGGGGACCACTAAGACATCCAAGGGTAACGTCTCTTCAGAATCTGTGATGAGGTGGATGGTGACAACGTCGAGTTGTCGTACTGCTGGGGTAGCTGCACTGAAAGCTGATAGATGAATGGTTTCTTTTCTCGTTGATTCTAAGTGGAGTTTGCTGACCAGATCTTGTTGTATGAAGGAATTTCGGATACAATTTCCTTGGGATCACCAACTTCTCATTCAGCTGGGCTGTCCGAGGATTTCTCGCTGTCGATTTCTCGCTGTCGCTGTAGGCAAATGCTACGGTTTGCAATGGCTTGCTTCGACTTCAGAATGATGAGATTTAGTATTGTTGTAAAACCTGCAAATACGGGCAGTATTTTGTGGTGGAAATTTGATAAAATCCCAAATTTAATTGTCCAAAATGAAATAAAAACTCGAGAAAATTTTATCAATATAATTTAGTAAATTGGAAAAAAATTGCACTAATTAGCAATGAAGAATTGAAAATATTTGCACTAGTATAATTAATTATTTAATTTTTCAAAGGTACACCCTGGAAAAATATATCTTGGGAAAATCTGACCGTAGCAAATGCTACGGTTGCAACGGTCTAAATCCGCCCCTGAAGATATTCAGTTTTTTTCACATTCAGGAAAAGATTGTTATCCAAGAGCCACTGACACAGACAGGCAAATTCATTGGTTAGGATCTGTTCGATTTCAGGAACAGTTTTTGATGCGTAGTAAATCACAGTGTCGTCTGCGTACATGAGAACTTGACATTTCGAAAAAACGGATGGAAGATCATTCACAAATATAACAAACAGCAAGGGGCCTAAAATAGATCCCTGAAGAACACCAGATAATACCTGACACTGTTCTGAAAGAACATTTCCCAACCAAACTACCTGTGATCGTTGTAATAGGTAGTTGTTAAACCATTTAAGTTCAAGGTCGTTTATTCGATATTTCGTTAATTTATTCAATAACACAGACTGATCAATGGTATCAAATGCCTTGCGAAGGTCTATAAATACAGACCCAGTCAAAAGACCTTGGTCCATATTTCGGCGAATAGAGTCTGTAAAAGCAATAGCCGGTCGAATGACTTTTTCGAAAGCCACATTGATAAGGACTTAAGTAGTGATACATTGTTAAATAACTGTACAATTGGGTATGTACAGCTCTCTCTAGGATTTTTGAGGCTACCGGCAATATAGAAATTAGTCGGTAGTTGTCGAGGTCGGTGATTTTACCCGATTTAAATAATGGGACCACTCTGGCAACTTTCCACTCGCTAGGAACTGTGACCGGTTTCCAAAGAGGCATTTATTATCTTCGTGAGTGGATTACATATTTCAGCAGCCGCATCTCTCATGAGCTGAGCAGGCATTTGATCTAGACCGGACGCTTTTTGCACTTTAAGTTTCCGTAAAAACTCAAATGTGAAATTCGTTGCAACTGAGATAAACTTGAAGGAATTTTTCGTTAATATGTTCAAAAAATCCGAGTTATAAGTATTTTGATCTTTACTTGGAAAGCCGAGTAATGCAGCGAGTCATCCAACAAATCCGATGAAATACGAATTGAAGGCATCAGCAATTTTGTTCCTATCAGTTATCAAGTTTCCGTCAATGTTTATCGCAGAAGGAACACGCTTTTTTTTTCATTTGGCAGGATTTTATCCATAGTCTTCCAAAAGGTTTTTGGATTATCACTATTTTCTTGGATTAGCTTCTTATTGTAATTGCATTTAGCCTTTTGCGACTTTCTAACTTGATTTTGCAACGATCTATACAGTTTCCAATCCTCGTCTGTATTTGACTGTCTGGCTTTTTTCAATTGATTTTCAGTTCTTTTACTTATCAACGGTGACATGACAACTACTTTAGATACTTCATGTTCGGAAAATACAGTCGAATGTTTTTTTTTTGTATTTCACTACTATTTCAACAATGTCTTCGTACAAAGGAGAGTCAGAAACTTCAGAAAGTGAACACTCGCATGGGAACAAAGCGAGCTGTGATGAAGAAACGTGCGGTGACTAACATTCAAGTGAAAATATAGTGATGAAAAGAAGAAATCAAACCTAGAAAAGTATTTGTTGACAATACATGGCTATCTTGTTTGTTGTTGAAAACACTTTGGCACAAACTTACTTTTGAAGTTGAAAAGGTAATTTCCATCACTCGTTCAAAGTTTGCCTTTAGCATCACTTTATATCATAATAAACCTTTCGGTCAATCAAAATACGAACAAAAATTCAAACAAATGCTTATAATTATAGCTATAAATAATATTTCAATGTATGTGTGTCTAATAACTGTCTACCAGTCTGTTTCTGTATGTTTAACGACTGTAAATTAATAAACTGACATGCACTAGCTCAGGGAATTTTATATAGGCTATAGTGCAAGTATAAAATATCCTACGACTCTACACGCATTTTCGCTTGCCGTATTAATTAAAGATTCATCGTAGGCCGGCCAGTATTGTATAGCAAACTATATACAGTATAAAAAGGTCACACGCAACGGGTATAAATACAATAGTTGATTTTACAACTTGCATTTGAAAAGTAGATGTGTAATTTTCAACTTGCACGGCGCCCATTGCCATTGAAGGTCTATAAAAGTATGGAAAACAAATATTGAACATTTGGGGCCTGTTCACACTAAGATCGACCTGAGATCGATTTGCCAGATCGATCTCAGATCGATCTCAGATCGATCTCAAACGTATTATTGGAAGATTCACACTACATCAATCCTTGTTAGTCATTTCATATTTTTTTTGCACGGATCTCTTCGGAAGCACATCGTCTAACGTCATAACAAAGTATGATCGGTTTTTCAAAACAAGATGGCGGCAGACGAGGTGGCAGATATATCTTCTGTCGTTTTGGCCACTATAATTGCTAATTACGAGAAAAATATCGAAAGGAATCATGTGCGTTTTAGGAAGCAGTTTTTAAAAATAACGAATCAATTGAGAAGAAACGCTATTTTTGTATTTTCGAGCATTTGGTAATCGATTATTCACTGAAAGAAGGTTTTGGGTTCAAGAAAGTAGAGACATTGCGTCTTTTTGGGAGAAAACGGTTGCTCTTTGGAAAGAGGACAGTCTTTGGCTTGAAAACTTTCGAATGTCTCGGGGAACTTTTGATTTCGTGTGTCACAAGATATCTGGTAATCTTTTGCGTCAAGACACAACCTTCCGAAAAGCTATATCTGTCGAAAAAAGATTTGCAATTTGCTTATGGCATTTGGGCACTGGAGAAGATTTCCCTTCTTTAGCATGGCGCTTTGGTGTTGGAAAGAGCACAGCTTGTGAAATTGTGAATGACGTTTACGAAGCAATTGTAGATGTTCTACTCTCTACAGTCTTGAAATGGC